AAGCCTCCCCCGGGCAATTGGGTTGCATAAAGATACCCAGCAGCTTCACTCACTGACTCACATGAAATACTGCAATAGAATTCAGCTGAAGTCAGCGAGTAACCTGTTGTGTTTTGCCCTTTCTTCAGCCCCGGAGATTTTCCATTCCTTCCTGAATGGCGGGACGGGCTACTCCTTCGAGGTGGACTGGTGGTCACTGGGAATCATGGCTTACGAACTGCTGCGGGGCTGGGTAGGGTGCCTGGACCACTCGAGGTCTAAGAACACGCTTTTGGAACGACTGCAGAGAGGAAAGGGAATTTCTTCTCACCTTTACGTTTCTTTTTCCCCCAGAGACCATATGACATCCACTCCAACAACCCTGTGGAGTCCTTAGTTCAGCTCTTCAGTACTGTGAGTGTCCAGTACTCGTCTGCATGGTCAAAAGAAATGGTTGCCCTGCTACGAAAGGTAAATAGCCGTGTTGGTGAGGTTCACGTTGTTCATTAGCTGTGGTGCGTGTGGGACTAGCTGGAAAATTTTCAGCATATTAATAAATAACATAAAATTGAAATAGGACTAAGTTTTATGACTTTGTTCAGGCTTGGAGCACCTGTCTTATGAAGAAAGGTTGAGGGAGCTGGGCTTGTTGAGCTTGGAGAAGAGAAGGCTCTGGGGAGACCTCACTGCAACCTTCCAGTACCTGAAGGGAGCTGAGAAACAGGAGGGAGAGAGACTTTTGCCGTGGGCAGAGAGTGACAGGACAAGGGGAAATGGTTTGAAACTGAGAGAGGGGAGATTGAGGTTGGATATTAGGAGGGAATTTTTCACCCAGAGGGTGGTGAGACAGTGTCCCAGGTTGGGCAGAGAAGCTGTGGCTGCTCCTCCCTGGAAGTGTTGAAGGCCAGGTTGGGTGAGGCTTTGAGCAACCTGGTGTAGTGGAAGGTGTCCCTGCTGCTGGCAGGGGGGTTGGGACTGGATGAGCTTTAAGGTCCCTTCCAACCCAAACCAGTCTGGGATTCTGTGATTCTGTGATTAATGTTGAGTTTTATTTGATAATTATCCCTGCAATAAGGTGTGTTACATTTGATAGCGATGGAAGGAAAGAGGCTGGGTTTGGTGTGACAATCAGATTGCTCCCTGAGCTAGAACTGTCCCCTCCCAGCATCCCCCTGTGGTCGTTGGAACCCAGAAGGCAGCAGTGGTGGCTGAGCCACTGGGTGAGCTGGAGGGACCTGTGCTGCCCCAGCTGCGGTCGCTGCTCCCTCTCGCCCGTCCTGCCGGGCTGAAGGGTCCGATTCAGTGGGTTTGGTTGTGAGAACCATCCCGGGGGGTTTCTGTGGCTGGGGGATGTTCTGCTGCTTTCCTGGTGCTGCACATGAGAAAGTTGGTGATTTGGTGTGGAGGCTGCTTTAGCTTCTGCTTGCCTGAGAACTCGGGACAGTAGCTGCTGCTGGGTGTGCTGTGAAAAAGACGTGCGTGGTGCTGACAGAAAATAAGCGACTCCCATGTCGGTTAATGTTGGGTGGACAGTTTCCATCGTTGGGTTTTGTTTGGGGAGAAGCAGCTGCTGTCAGCTCTGACTGCAGTGGAGCACTCAGCAGTTCACATTGCCATCTGCTGGGCTCCGGCAGCCCGGCTTCTGGAGAGCCACCGGGAATTAAACATCTCACCAGGATAACGCCAGCAGCCACCTCAGCCTGGAAGGACACTCATGTTCCCCCAAAGCACTGGGGTTCCTGTGCTTGGGTGCCCCAGCTGGAGTCATGCCCCCTGGGCAGTTGCCCACCCGCTCACCGAGGCCAGTCCCCCCTCACAGCATCGATGTCCCCCAGCTCCTTCCCTTTGGGCCAGTGCTTACTCAGGAATTGGGAATTCCTCCTTTCTCATTTTAAGGATGAAGATAATTCTGTGCTGTGAAAAAGTGCCTGCAAAGTCCCCCCAGGCAGCAGTTGCTGGTCGAGGTGGTCTTTTACCCCTAGCCCTTCACCAGCGTCCCTGTGTGCGGGCGCTGGGCGGGCTGTAAGTGCAGTCACCGTTACCTGCGTCTTGCCTACTCACCTGGGGCATTGGAAAATACTCAGTGCTGACCTTATTTTCTGCAAAAAGGCTGTAACCACCTATAATTAGAGTGCCTAGAATGACGTCGTGGGTTTTTGAAGGAAACAATCCTAGATGGGCATTTTGTAGAGGTCCCACTGTAGGTGTCCATCAGTTGGGAGACCATACGCACTCAGTTTGCGGATGCCCAGCACCGAGCTGGAGCTCAGGACTCGAATTCTAAATGCTCTGGAAAAATGGCAAGAACTGGTCCAGAGGTGGAATGTGGCACCGGTGGCAGCGGCACAGGCAGGCGGAGGGGCCAGCTCCTGGATAGGGGTGAGGGTGGGCACAACTCAACTGCCACGAGCATCCCACGCTTGGGAGAGGAGGGACAGCACTGGGCTGTGAGGATGCTGCAACGGTGGCATCAGCTGAGATTTTTACGGGGCAGACCAGGCACAGAATTTCCTGGAAGCCCTACCCAGACCCTGTGTTAGATGTACCTCCATGTCAGACGTACCTCCATGTCAGATGTACCTCCAGCAGCCCTGGAAGCTGTAACTCAAGCCAGCCAAGAGTGCAGCGTGGTACATGGTGCTGAATTTGTTGAAAAACCAGGTCCATCCTCAGACTGGTGTCTCAGCAGATGAAACAAACTTTTTGAATGCTTTTCTCTCTGTGCTCAGTAATCCGTGTGTGTGATAAACAGAGTAGTATCCCCTGCCGTCACAGAAGCAGTGGGAAAAGAGGACATGGGGAGGCTGAAACTGAAACCATGAGCCTCTGGGGGAATCAATGTCTTTACAAGGGGACAAGGTCTGTCCCGGGCACGGGAGGAGCAAACCCGCGCTGGTCCAAGAGCTCCTGGTACCACATTTTTGGCTGACTGGTTCCACAGCCTCCAGAATGTTTTTCCACTGTGTTTTTTCCTATCAAGTAGGTGACGTGTTTCCCATGACAGAAGATTTGCTGCGTGGCTGAACCATCCAAGCCATCCTAAAGGCAGGATGGTGCTGGGCTGCTGTTGTTCTCCTCTCACGGGGATGCTTTTCTCTCCGCAGCTGCTGACGGTGAACCCCGAGCATCGGTTCTCCTGCCTGGCCGACGTTCAGGCCTCGGCGTACTTGTCTGGCGTGGTCTGGAGCGACGTCTGCGAGAAGCGGGTGGAGCCGGGCTTCGTCCCCAATGTGAGTAGGACCGAGTCGGGTCCCGGCCCTGAGCAGGGGCCACTTCTTTGCTGATGGAGAAGTAGTTTCTGAGCGTATTTGCTGCGAGAGGGTCTCTGCTGTGCCTAACACGTGGTGTCACGTCATTGTCCCGGCAGAAGGGCCGCCTGCACTGCGACCCCACCTTCGAGCTGGAGGAGATGATTCTGGAGTCGAGGCCCTTGCACAAGAAGAAGAAGAGGCTTGCGAAGAACAAGTCGAGGGATAACAGCAAAGACAGCTCACAGTCCGTAAGTGCTTTCTGGGGTAGTGGTCAGCCGGGAAAGGACTTTTCATACGGGCAGTTAATGACAAAACAAGGGGAAATGGGTTTAAGCTGAAAGAGGGGAGGTTTAGATCAAATATTAGGAAGAAGTTCTTCACTGTGAGGGTGGTCAGACACTGGAACAGGTTGCCCAAGGAAGTTGTAGATGCCCCCTGCCTGGAAGTGTTTAAGGCCAGGTTGGATGAGGCTTTGAGCAACCCTAGTGGAAGGTGTCCCTGCTGCTGGCAGGGGGGTTGGAACTGGATGAGCTTTAAGGTCCCTTCCAACCCAAACCAGTCTATGATTCTATGATTCTATGAATTTGGGGTGAACAGCAGTAGTTACTGTGACAATGCAGTAACTGCAGGTTTATTCTGATAAAAACATGTGCCCAGGACAGTCTTCCCAACAACTAAACGTTCCTCTTATGTAAGTTTGATAGAACTCTCTCACAGTAATCTGTACTTTGGAAAATGAAATGAGAAACAGAGGTCTGGGCACACCAGTCAAGAGAAAAAAATAAAAAACCCCTCATCTGTGTGAGCTTCACCTTTCTGAGAGACACTGCCCAGTGTCTGTGGCCGCTCTCGCTGGGGTTACACGCTGTGGGTTTATCCCAGCGCTGACAATGGCCATGCAGAAACATCCAGCCCGGCAGCCCCGGCTTTGGGTGCCTGTCCTGTGTTTTCTCTCGCCGTGTGACCCTGGGCTGTGTGGCTGGATGGGCCCCGTGGCTCTACCGGGCTCCCACACCAGGCAAGTGCTCTCTGGCACTGGGGGCATAAATACAAGAATCCCGGTCGTACAGAGCAGACATGTCCCAGTAAAACCATCTCCCTCCCCAGCAGAGCCGGTACTCGGCCCCACAGAGCCCGGGGTTCTGTTTGGGGCGTTCGCCGGGACGGTGATGTGCCAGGAGGACTGTGAGAGTGGCCTCACCACCGTCCCTGCTTCCCCTGCACAGTGCCTCTGCCCTGCACAAATCCCGGCTGAGGGAACAGCCATTGCTCCCCCCCCCCGTGGGGTCAGGACCGTCCCTGTCCCAGAGCAGCGGGGAGCACCGGGCAGGATTTTGCCCATCTCAGCTGCTCCAGGTAACTGCGATGGATCCCTTCCCTCTGCAGCGGGAGTTAATGCTGCAATCAATGAGATTTACTGTAAGTGCTGAAGAGTAAACTGGGAAGCGAGGGAGGAAAAAACCAGAATAATCAAATTTGCAAATACCTCTCTGAGGTTTTGCTGCCAAGAGAGCTAAGGGCACTGTGCCTGCCAGGACACACGGCCGATTGCCAGCCGCCATGCAGGCACCGGGCAGGAGCCCGTCTGTCGCCGTGCCACAGCCCATGGCTGGGGCTGCCCCGGCTGGGGCGGGGGGGAGTTGAGTGTCCCTGCTTCGCTTGGGGGTGGGGTGCAGCACCAGCGTCTGGCTCCAGAGGAGCTCTCTGGGCCAGGGAGAGGTGTGCAGGAGGGGAAATAAAGGCAGAAATCGGGAAGCGTGGGCTGTCCACACGCCTGCATTTCCCTCCTGCCCCGCGGGTGCTGCCAGCTTCCCCGGGGTGCACACTGCCAGTGTCCCTGCACGGACCCTGGGGACCATCATCAGGGTGGTGAGACACTGGAACAGGCTGGCCAGAGAAGCTGTGGCTGCTCCTCCCTGGAAGTATTGAAGGCCAGGCTGGATGAGGCTTTGAGCAACCTGGTCTAGTGGAAGGTGTCCCTGCTGATGGCAGGGGGGTTGGAACTGGATGAGCTTGGGTGCCCCTGTTGCTGGCAGGGGGGTTGGGACTGGATGAGCTTTAAGGTCCCTCCCAACCCAAACCAGTCTGGGGTTCTGTGATGACCCTGCGCAGCCGTGGTGGGACAAGATGGCAGCTTTGTGCCTTGTTCTCACAGGGACTCACTGGCTCAGGCCATGTGCTGGCCTCTCCATGGTGTTGGCTTTCCCTCCTCTGGGCAGAGAGCACTCCCCAAACCAGGGCACTGTTCCCATCAGCGGTGTCAGCTGAAGCTGCTGGTGGCTGTGGG